GAGCCAATCTCCTTGGATTAGATTCCTTGCTCCACCCACTCTCACCTCAAGGCTCCATCATGTGGGGCAATTCACTTGAGCCTGCAATACTTTAGTTTATGCATACATGACATGGGGAAGATAAAATCGTGAGGATTAAATAGATTATTACATGAGCACTCAGAACCGTGCAAGGAACAGTGAGAGCTCAATACAAGGCACTTTAGCTATGCGCTTCAACCCACACAGGCCAAATAGAAAATTCTCCCCACAGGATCAAGGGTAAGCCCTCAATACTGGAGCCAAAGTCCAGTTTCACCTGTTTCTCCGTGACTGCCAGTTCCAGAAACCAACCACTGTATTCACACTGATCCCGGCTGTCTGACCACACGTCTTATCTTCTCACTTTCGCACCCTCCCCCTTCTCCAGAACTTCCTTCCTCACTTACCAACATTTTATCCATCCTTTTTAATGTTCCTAGCAATCTCATCACAAAGCTCTTTCCGACTTCCTGACACTTGACTCTGTACCACTTGGTCCTTAGTTTTCACATACTGCCCTGTTCTTTTTGAAAGGGGATCACAGATGGGTGTGGGATGAAACCAATGGAGCAAAATGCTAACTCCAAAATCTCACGGCAAAGTTCCTAAATCTTTTCTAAACGTTCAGAAATGTCCATAATGAAATGTTTTCTTTAAAATAATAATAATAATAAGATGGCACTTGCAAGTCACAGGTCCTGCCTTAACTTGGATTGAAACAAACTGTCCCCAGGGCTCTGCGCACAGTGGGCCTGCACAAGCACCTGCCACTGCCCTGACCCCGCACAACAGGAACAGATGGTTCACACTGAGTGCGCAGCTACAGTAACTCAACCTACAAACGTAAGCCACGACCGAGAGGGCGCCGCTGCGGTGGGGCACGACGGTCACAATGCTAGTTCATTCAGGTACAGTTTAGATAGCATTCACCCACCATTTAACCAGTGCCACCGGGTGGCCGTCACAACGCACACATCCCCAGGAACTCTGCGGACCTCACTCCGACCCTCACAGCCGCCCTATAAGCTGGCACTTTACCGGTGTCCGCCGCACGGAAGAGTCCCTGCCCGGTCGCTAGCCGGTAAGCAGCAGAGCCGGCCGTCGAGCTGCTCCCCCACTTCGCTGCATCGCCCCCCGCATCCTGACAGCGACCCCC